GTAACTTGCGCGCAGCCGGCTCAGCGCGGGGAGGAACATTCGTGCATCGCCCCCTCCCCAAAGCTCTGCGCGCCCGGGCGGGGGCAGGGTGGGGAATGGGATGGGGGGTCCGGCCGGGGTTGGGGCTGCTCCTGCCTCAGGTGTGCGGGAGGAAAAGGATGCTCGGCCCCCTCCCGGCGCTGCCGCCGCCCCAGCGAGGCTCCTAAAGCAGGAGCACGAACACCTGCGCGGCTCTGCCCGCCCCCCTCTCAATTTAAGGTGTGGGGGGCACTCAGCACCCCTGGAGCCCTCCTCACCTCCCTGCGGGACAGCCCGAAAGGACAGGGGAGCAGCCAGAGCCTCACCCTGAAATAGAGGGGAATACTCCCAAAATCCCGGGAAATGACGGGGGACAATGTGTGTGTGTCTTCGTTCCCCCCTCCGCCCCCCCCGGACATAAATTATATCCAACAACCTCCCACACTTCCAGAGGGAGCTGGAGATAGGGGGGCTCTGGAAGACTCCCCAGAACTGCACCCTCATTTCCTGCAGGAGAGGAGCAGCAGCTCTTCACACCTCTATAAAAACATATATTGGAGCTGAGACTAAAAGATAAAAATACCACCCCCCCTCCCCAATAAAGTTTTGTTTGTAAGAGGGGGGACCCTATGCAAGCACTTCTGTCATTTATCAGGACTGGGGTAAGGGACAAAAGGGCCTTTTCTCTCCTTTAATCACCATTTTTATCCTTTTGGTTTTTTGTTTTTATTTTTTTTAACCTTTAATTTCATTTTCACCCAGCAGGAGTTTGGGGTCGGAGCAGAGGTGTCCAAAAATCAAACCCAAGTAATGAAATCACTGCTTACCCCACTACACTTTGTGTGGCTACTGATGGCAGAGCCTCCCTCATCACCAGTCTGAGGGGCATGTGGGGCTGGCTGAGGCAATTATTAAACCAAACTGAGAAAGTAATTACAGCTATGGACTCTAATTACTGCAAGGTGAGTTTGAGAAAAAGGCTGCACAGCTCTCCCTTTTGTTCTGGGGCTTCCTGCTTACCTTGGTGGGACCATGGCTAAACCATGGCTACCAGCCCTGGTCTGGCTAAAAAAGGACAACTTCCCAAACTCCACTCGTGCTAACAAGCTAAACTGGTGCCAGGTGGTTAAACCTGGCTTAGGAGCAGCACTGAGCTGAGTTTTATTGATTGAAACTCAAGCACTGCACGCAGGCTCTGCTCTCAGCACAGGAGGAGTCACCCTGCAAATAAAGAGCTTTTATTATTATTTTTAGCTTGCATCCCTAAGGAAATCAAGCTTATTTGGGTTTGTCCACGTGTGCTGGTTTGCCTATCCCTGCCTGCTTGTGTCCCTGGGAGAAAGAGGTGTAAAGGTGGGGCTGACTGCTTAGAACTGTCCTATTCCTTCATTTTTCCACTCTAAGGGACTCCTGGAATGCATTTTCCACCAGGACATCACCTGCAGCCCTGGCAGGGATTCTGGCCCTGGCCACAATCACAGTGGTGTCCCCATGCCTGGCAGTTTACAGGTGGTGCATTTTTTGGTGGATCTTTTCTGGCAGCAGCACTGATTTAAATGTGCGTGGAATAAATTGCTCAGTGCCTGATTTCAGCGGGAATTAGATTTCTAAATAATTCCAAGGCTCTCCCTGTTGTGTTTCAGTTTATTCTGCAAAATGTTGTTTGCTTGCAGACGAGGGGTACTAATGTATATTAAGGCTGCTACACAAGTCAGGCTTTCCTGTGAAGCTTCAAAACACCATTAACATTTGCATGGCAATTTCTTCTTTTCCTTTCACGAAAAATATTATTCCTTGCCTGCATCCAAAACAGCAGAATTTTTAACTTCCAGGAATCATGAATATTTTTCTCTCCTTTTTTTTTTTCTTTCTTCTTCTTCTTCTTTCTCTTTCCCAGTGAAAACATTTCAGCTGGAAAATTCTCATCATTGCAATACTGACCTTTGCAAAGGGCTTTAAATCCTTGAGTGGAAGTAGCAGGTAAGTACGAAGTTTTATTAACTGATTACCTCTGTGGTTTCGACTACATTGGTAGTCAAATTTGATTTAGAGGACCAGGCATGTAAAAAAAAAATCAGCTTTCTGACATAATTTTGGCTTGCTGCAGCCTGAGCAGTGTCCTGCAAGATCAGCTCCCCTCCACCTGATTCAGGAGAGCAAATCGAGTGCAAACTGATTATTAGCTGCTCCTCTCGGATATCTCATTTAAATCTGCTCTGTGTTGTGGAAGGAAATGAATCATTCCAATTAAAAAGCTGAGAAAATCAGGGAGCTGTGGGGAACAGCCTTTGGGGAGGAATATTAAGCTGGTGCTGGGTGGCTCTGCCCCAGCTGGAAACCCCACGTGGGGCCCCTTTGCACCCCCTGTGCCCAGACCTGGGTGTGGAGGGGCTGTGGCCAGGGCTCCCATGGGTTTGGGGGGTCACACACCTGCCCTGGGCAGTATCTAAAGGCAAAGAGCAATTCCAGAAGCTGGAAAGAGCAGATACTCAAGCTCTCCCTTCCTTCTGAATGTCAGTGGGGATAAAACAGGTAAATTCCCCTTTCTTTTTCCAGTATTCCACGTTGACAAGCGTAATAGATATGAAACACCACGGCAATGAAAGCCCAGACTTTCTCATGCCTTTACCTCTCTTACTTCCAGGCTATTTACTGAGAAGTATTTACCGGGAAAAAAACAAAATGTTCTGAAATGCAGCAGCAAAATGGAGGGGGGAAAAAAAAGAGAATAATATAAAACATGTAAGCAGCTTGATCAAAATGAAGCAATATTGACAGAAAATGGGGTTTTAAGCAGCAGGACAACAGCAACTCAGATGGATTTCATTCTTGTGGTATTACAACGCTAAGCCAAGCACCTGGAAGAGAGAGAGAGAGGAAAATAATCACGTTTCCCTGGTTTAGAAAATCTTTTCCTTGTCATTTAAAAATACACATGACAAGTGAAAGCTCTGCAGAGTCCTTCTGGAAAAAAACATGGAGCAGGGACTTGGAGGTTTTCCCTGCTCCTGCTTCAGAGCTTCCCCTGTGAGTTTAAGGAAGCGCATCCCTTGTGCCTCAGTTTCCCCTCTGCAGAGCACCGCTGCCCTTTGTCACCTGTTTGCAGCACAAACGCTTCCAAGCGTGGGCTGATGCCTGCTTAGGAAGCAAAATCTTGGATAAAGGAATGCAGGAAGGAGCAGCTGTCCCTCCAAATAATACGAGTGAGGCACAGCCCTTGTCCCACACTGCAGGACCTGCAGTTTTGGGGCTGAGAGGTGGTGGAGATGCCAAGGATATCCTTGGGATGGCAGAGTGCAGCAAAGCCAGGGTGAGGTTTTGGGGGTTGTTTGGGACTGTGTTTTTCCTACCAGCAAACCAGGGACATTGGGGCAGGAGGCTGATCTCCCAGGAGGTGCCACCTTCCTGGGATGCCCTTGGAGGGGACAGAAAATGGAGAAAAAGAAAATATTTTTGCTTGGCCCCGGGTAGACACAGCTATCACTGCTTTTGCCTACAAGAGTGAAGGCAGCTGCCTCCCAGATTCCCGAATTCTGCCTGCCGCTCTGCCCAGGACATGAGAGGAGTTTGAGTGTTCCTGCTCTGGCACTGCCTCCCTTTCCAGAGCAGCCCCAGCCAAGAAGTGCCAGTCCCTTTCCACACCTCCCACCGGATCCTCTTTGAAAACAACCCAGGGAAGGCCAGGGAAGCAGATCCGTGGGGAGAGCCTGGGCTCTGTTCTCTCCTTGTCTCCTGTTCCTCCCGGCTGTGTGGAGAGCTGCCAAAGCCCCTCAGCCTGTGGCACTCGATAAAGCTCTCGTACAGCGGCTCTGGGAGCAATATGGGCAGGGCCTGGGAACAACCGGGAGCCAAGGGAGCAGCCTGGAGGGTTAAAAACAAAAAAGAAAAGAACTCTGATGACATTGTGGGTTCAGGTGGGGAGAGGTTCCTATGGCAGTCTGGCACCCCCTTTGTCTGAGGGGAGCAGCAGCTGGGGGGGCTGGAGCTGGGTGTCAGGAGCAGGGATGGGATCAGGAGCTCTCCTGCTGCACCACTGCTGCCAGCCATGCCCTGGGCCCTGGAGTGAACACACGGGGCCCTGGAGTGAACACACAGGGTCCTGGAGTGAACACACGGGGCCCTGGAGTGAACACACGGGGCTGGAGTGAACACACAGGGCCCTGGAGTGAACACACAGGGCCCTGGAGTGAACACACGGGGCCCTGGAGTGAACACACAGGGCCCTGGGGGCTGGAGTGAACACACAGGGCCCTGGAGTGAACACACAGGGCCCTGGAGTGAACACACGGGGCCCTGGAGTGAACACACAGGGTCCTGGAGTGAACACACAGGGCCCTGGAGTGAACACACAGGGTCCTGGAGGCTGGAGTGAACACACAGGGCCCTGGAGTGAACACACAGGGCCTTCTCAAATCCCCCTGGAGCAAAGCTGGGTGCAGGGACACACTGGAAATGGGAGCTGGACAGCAGCACCATGGGAAGAGCCCTGGCAGTTCTGGTGAGGGCAGGTTGGACAGGAGTCACCAGTGCCCTGGCAGCACAAAGGCCACCAAGTCCTGGGGACATCAGCCCTACCTGGGCCAGGGAGGGATTGTCCTGCTCTGCTCTGGGCTGGGGCAGCCTCACCTCCAGTGCTGGGGGCACAATATAAGAAAGATCAAAAGCTGTTAAAAAAGCATCCAAAGGAGGGACATGGGGATGGGGAAGGGCCTGGAGGGGCCACAGAAGGAGCAGCTGAGGGCACTTGGTTCGTTCAGCTGGAGCAGAGGAGATGTGGGCAGAGCTCAGCGGGGCTGCGGCTCCTCCCGAGGGGCAGCTCCCATCTCTGCTCTGGGACAGGGACAGGAGCTGGGCCAGGGCAGGCTCAGGCTGGATTTAGGGAAAGGTTCTTCCCCCAGAGGTGCTGGCACTGCCCAGGCTCCCCAGGGAATGGGCACAGCCCCGAGGCTGCCAGAGCTCCAGGAGCCTTTGGACAGAGCTCCAGGGATGGCCAGGGTGGGATTTGGGGGTGTCTGTGCAGAGCCAGGGGATGCACTGGGTGGTCCCTGTGAGTCCCTCCAGCTCAGAATATTCCAAGATCTATGAATTCCTGCCATGCTTCCCACACCCACTTGCTCTGCTCACAGCCTTAGGCCATCCCTGCCAGGCTGGGGACCCTGATGGATCAAAGGCACAGAGGTGGCCAAACCCCATCACTGACGTGGTTCTTGTTAGGTCCTTCCTAACTTCACCCAGATCAGTCCCCAGGCCATTCCCTGGAGGCTTTTTGGCTGCCTTTCATGCAGGTCTTTTAATGCAAAGTTATTTTAATGCTGTGCTTTGCATTCTGCTGCTTCCCCTCTCTGCTGTCAGGGCCGCTGCCACACAAGGTTAAAGCAGCCAAGCTGGACCTGCTGGAATGTTGTGCACGGATGGGCTGGGTGTGCTCCCTCTGCTTCTGGAAATTGGGATTAATGGGGCACTGCTGAGAAGCTGGTGGTGGAGAGGGACGGCTCCCAAACCCTGGGGAGAAGCTTCACAAGATATTTCCTGGGATCAAGAGAGAATTGCCACCGTGCGAGAGCTCCCTGCTGTGAACAGACACAGGGAGCACCAGCCAGCCTCGAAATTCCCAGCTCCTCTTTCACTGCCCAGATGTGCCCAGATGTGCTTGGGGATTGTCTCAGTGTCTTGCTGGTGTTACAGGAGAATTTGGGCCAGGTTTCACCCTCCACCAGCTGGCCCGAGGTGGTTGGTGATATTCAGATCTGGGCAGATTGTCCCAATCCACTGGAAAGCTACTAAAACTCTGGCTTAGGGTGTTGTTTGCATGTCTGAGCACCATAAACACTGGACTGCATTAGTGCTTGCTGAGAATTAACATCTGATCCAGGTGTTTTCCAGGTCCCAGGAACTTTCCCAGCTCAACAGGGACTTTGGAGGGAAGGCAAGAGCTCCACAGCTCCTCCTGTGGCTGCGGGAGAGGAGCTGGCAGCAGGAAAATGTGATGGGGAAGGATGTGCTGAGGCTGCTGGATACTGTCCTCATCACCAGTTATGCTTTTTAATAAAATTTTTGGCGATTTTTCATCCCCCAGACTCACTCTGGAACCTGGCTTGGACTTTTTTTTGCTGAGGAGCTAAAACCCAGTGCATTAGAAAATTATGAACGAGCTGCAAAGGGTTAAAGGGAGCATTTGTATAAAAACAATGAATCCCATTTTTGCTTGATTGGCACTTTAATTAGGCCCATGTCCTTTTTCTGCCACTGCAATCAGATTGGAGGAGAATGGGAAGCTTCCACACCGTTATATTTATCTCAAGATTACAAGATTTCCATTTTTTTTTCAATGCAAAGGGGGAAAAAAAAGAAAAATAAAAAGAAAGGAAAAAAAAAAAAACCCTGCTACTTTATAAACGTGGCAAGGGAACGATATTATTTAGGGCTCGGTGAAAGTGTGGCTTCCTGATTGCAGCACAAGAATTAATCTTATTATGTTAACAAGGGATTGTTATGCTAAGGAGAAGAGGGAAGAAAAGTTCTGTCTCTCAAGTCTGCCAGGAACGAGGCCGGGGCTGCGCAGGCTCCAGAGCCAGCCTTGAATTTAAGAGCTCCAGTGGAAAGAAGAAAGCCCAAAGTCCTTGTGGTTTTTACAAGGCAATTTCCCTGGTTCTCCTCTCTCTGTTTTTAGGGGAGGTTGTAACTGCAGCTCACAGCCCGGGAGTCCCTGGGGCTGGTCAAGGATGGCTCAGATCACAGCACCTGTACCTGAGCCCAGCCACTGCCTGAAATCCCAGCTCTGGGAGCAGTGAGGCTGAGCAGGGTTTTACACCCACAAAAAAGACAACTCCAAGCCCATCAAAGAGAGGGAAATGGGATGCTGGAGATTTCCAGTTCCTCACCTTCGTGGGAAATGTGTCTTTGGGGGGAAAGAGGGGTCACTTTATCCACTGAAAAACAGGAAAAAAAATTGTTCTGCACTACTTTTGGTGCTTTCAGGTGTAAAAAGACAAACCTCAGGGTAACCCAGAAGCTCCTTCCCCATCTCCCAATCCTGAGCCCAAACATCTTCAATTTTGGGAACAAACATTCCCCAACACATGTCCACATCCTTCCTGCCACCTCTCCAGGCTGGCTGTGTCACAGGAAGAGCCTGGAGTCAATATCCAGCCCCTCTTTTTCCTCTCTTCTTTCCCAGAGAGCTTTCAGAGCCCATGACAAGCGTGAGCATCTCTGAAAGCAAAAGTTGGCTGCGAAATTCCAGCCTGTCCCTGGGCTTTGCTCAAATCGAGGCAAAGGCGTTTGTTGTGCACTGGAATAGTTTATTCTTCGAGCAGAGATAGAAATGATGCTGTTTGATTGAGGTGGCTAATTACACAGCTTGGAAAGTAAATTACAGCTATCAAATACCCCAGTGAATATTCCCTTACAAATAGGCAGAGAAGAAAATGAAATTTTTTGGGTTTGCTGGCAATTTGGAAATAAAAACATTGTCTCTGGTGGCGAATGTAAAACCAATCCCTTTCAAATTCTTCTGCAACTGCTAAATTCAAATGATGCTTTGTTGTAGACCAACCAGACAGCTCACCCTGATAGCTCTAAGCTACTTTTATTTTTTCTGTTTTGAGGGTTTGTGTCTCTTTGTGACTTTTGGAGACACTTGCCCTCTCTTTGCCATCTAATCTTTTCAGTGAAAAATATTAATAGCAAGTTTTAAACCAGATAAAACTGCCCAAGTGGAATAAAAATCTTGGTCACACAGAGTAAATTGCTTGGCAGAAAAAGTTTAATAGGAAAGAACCCACCCTGAGCCATCCATCTTCTCAATTAGTAAATACTCAAAAGTCTGAATTTCATTGCCACATGCTGGAAAGGTTTACAAGCAAGGATTAGTGTGAAGGGGAATGTGGGGAAGAGCAGCAAACACCTGGATTGAGGTTGAGGGCTGGGCTGATCCATCTCCATCTCATCCCTGCCTGCATGAAATGGCTCTTTGGATGCTGTTTGCTTACCCAACCCTTCCCACAAGATGCTGTTGCTTGTTTTTCTGGGACCACACCCCAAACCACCCCTTTATTTCACCTGCAGCCACACAAACTTGGATCTCCTCTTAAATATCAACCTTCTGGGGCCAGGCTGCCAAGCTCTGCTTCCCCAACACCTCCCCTCTGCCTGTGCTTTTGGCCTGGAGGACTGGAAACCCAAACTTCCCAAGCCTTGGTTTCTCCAAGAACACAACAGGTGCCTGGCTGGGGGAGTTAGGGAATGTTTCCCAGGCCTTTTTGCTGCAGAACTCTGCAGTAATGACTCCAATCTCCCTGTTTGCCTCCCTGCTGAGCCTTCAGCCTCTCTTCCTGGATAATGAAAGCCAAGCATCTCTCTGGGTGTCTCTGCGTGCCTCTAAATTCCTGGGGCCTATTAGGACCAAAAAAAAAAAGTCAATTTTCTTGTCTCATCCTCTTTCCTGGCCTTTAGGAACAAACCCAAAGCTCACAGCAATCCCCCCTTCCCAGCCACCTTGTTACCAACATCCTTGTGCATCCCGAGGCTCGCTGGTGGCGCGGGCAAAGCAGCACTTCAGGGACATTTTGGCATCTCTTAATTTGCCCTGTGCCACCCCTTAGTCCCCAGAGAGGTGGTGTTTTGTCGTGTGCAAACAGCACATGAGGTGCTGGGGGGATTTGTTATCCCATTCCCAGGGGTACAATGAGGGATGTGTGGGATTTGCAGCCTCAGGGAGCCTGGGAGCCTTTGGGGTCTGTATGGGAGGAGAAGAAACACGACAACAAAAACTGAGATGTGTGCCAAGGGAATCCCATCCGAGCCCTGATCCTGGAGCAGCAGCTGCTGAAACTCCCTTGGACTCTGGAGGAGGGCAAACACCTTGTGGCAGGTGCTGCTGCTCGCTTTGCTGGGCCCAAATGCAAAATCAAGCTTCTGTTTCACCATCAGCCACAATAATTTGTGTTTCCTCCTCAATATCCAGCTGTTGGGGCTAAAAGTTTGGTTCTGAGCATACCACTGCACATCCCTGGGTATCAGAGCATCCCAGACCCAGCAGCCACTCGCCCCCATCCCCCTGTGCTGCAGCCACCCCGGGGGCTGAATGGAAGGGGGAAACCCTGAGTGCACAAAGAGCCACTGGCTGCACTTCCAGGGCGTGTTCCTGGACACAGAGGGCATGGCATGTCCTGGAGGGGGAATTTTTCCCTGATGCACGACAGGTTTTGTCCTAGCATGGGTCAGAGAAAGCCCAACCTTGATGGGTTTCATCTAATTTCTATTACAGTCGTTAAAGCTTTCTCTTGCATGAGCTGAGCCTGTCCACGAGGCCTGGACTGACAGGCCATTAGGGAGCAGTTATTTATAGCAGGCCATGTTAATTTTACAGGATCACAGACCAGTGATTCAGTGCCTGGCGCTGCTGAAAGGAATCACTCACAGCAATAAGTGGGAGCTGACATGAAAGCACCTCGCTCCAGCCAGGAGCTCCTGGGTCAGCGGCGCAGGGAGGGGTCACACCGGGATGGGCCATGGGTTGGGGACCCACGTGGGGGATGCTGAATGATCAAATCATCCCTTGCAGACCTGGTTTGGTGTGAACTGATGGGTTGAGACAGGGAGGAGGTCAAGGAAATCCAGAGAAATGGATGATCTGAGATGCAGGGAGAGTGGGTGATGCTAAAGGGAAGGGGCATTTTTCCTGTGGTACCCCCAGGTTTTTCCAGCCCTGATTTGGGAGCTGGGAAGAGCCCACACTCTGGAACAGCCACCTTTTCTGCCTCTCTGCTCCGTGGCATTTTCTTGAACCACAGGATGCCCAGTTCTGCAAAAGGGCTTTGCTCAGCCTTTATCTGCCCCAGCAAAGGGCCTGAAGATACTGAATGAAACATGCTGGAGATGAGGGAGGAGGAGGAACAGACAAAAAAAAAATAAAACCTCCTGCATTGTACTGAATTCCCTTGAATTTTAAAGTGCTTCATGCTTAAAGCTTTCTGGGTGGAAGAATAGAAGTGGGGAGAGGGAGAAAAGACAGGACAAAAGGAGCGTTTCCCAGACATGGCACAAATTGCTCTGGCTCTGGGTATGGCTGATCCAGATGGTGCTGGGGGACTTCTCCCACAGGCTCAGAGCAGAGCCCTGCTGAGGATGGCCAGTCCAAGGCTCCTCTGGGGCTCTGAGGTCCTCTCCCCTTCTACCAGCCCATGGTCATCCCAAAATGAGGCACCAGCACAGTCCCAGGGTGGCTGCAGGGCAGGGCAGTGGCAGGATGGAGGCTGGCACAGGAATGCTGAGGACAGATGGATGAGCTGTTCCTTGCTCTGCTCCCCATGTCCTGGTGTGCCCCAGCCCTGGGAACACCGAGGAGGGACAGTGTCCCAGAGTGGCTCCCCCCGGCCAGCCCCGCTCTGCCCCAGGGCTTTCTCCATGCCCACAAGTAATGGAGGCATCAGAGGCAAACTGGGGGGATTTGGGCCCAAAATGCTCAGCATCACACCCTCCAGAGCCCCCTAGGAAAGGGGGATTTTCTCCAGGAGATCTTTTCTAGGGATCTGTGCTGGCAACATTTTGGCTCCCAGGGGCTGAGAGGTTTCTCCTGCTCCTGCAGCCAGGCTGTGCTGAGCCACACTCTGACAAACAGCACAGACAAGCAGTGCTGAGGGGAAGGACACTTTTCCTGTAATAAATATAATAAAGGGACCATAATTGCCCCGGAAGGTGACCCTGGAGTGCTTCAGGCCCCTGTCCCCGTGTCACCCACAGTATCTCTGCTTGCAGACAGTGTTTGCACCCATGTTTTCCTGCCAACCTCACCCTGTGGGTGATGTCAACCTCTGACAGAATTGGGCATAACCCAATTAAACCTGATCTCCTGCTCCCCTTCTCCTGCCCAGCCAGGACACCTCACCCCTGCCTGCTTGTCTGCCCAGCTCCCTCATCACAATCCCCGTGGACATGGGGCTCCCTTTTTATGCACTCCTACAGCATCTCTTGCACCCTGACCTCAGCTGAGCCATGCAGGCCATGAAATAATCTGATAATCACAGCACTGGTAGCAATAATCATCATAATAACCCTGGTCCTGACCAGGGCACCCGTCACCTGG